CCCCATAGTCTCTCCCCATAGTCTCTCTCCATAGTCTCTCCCCATAGTCTCTCCGCATAGTCTCTCTCTATAGTCTCTCTCTATAGTCTCTCCCCATAGTTTCTCCCCATAGTCTCTCCCCATAGTCTCTCCCGATAGTCTCTCCACATGGTCTCTCCCCATAGTCTCTCCCCATAGTCTCTCCCCATAGTCTCTCCCCATAGTCTCTCCACAGTCTCTCCTCATAGTCTCTCCCCATAGTCTCTCCCCATAGTCTCTCCCCATAGTCTCTCTCTATAGTCTCTCCACATAGTCTCTCCACATGGTCTCTCCACATGGTCTCTCCGTAGTCTCTCCCCATAGTCTCTTTCTATAGTCTCCCCGTAGTCTCTCCACATAGTCTCTCCCCATTAGTCTCCCCATAGTCTCTCCACATAGTCTCTCTCTATAGTCTCTCCCCATTAGTCTCCCCATAGTCTCTCTCTATAGTCTCTCCCCATTAGTCTTCCCATAGTCTCTCCACATAGTCTCTCCCCATTAGTCTCCCCATAGTCTCTCCACATAGTCTCTCCCCATTAGTCTCCCCATAGTCTCTCCACATAGTCTCTCTCTATAGTCTCCCCATAGTCTCTCCCAATAGTCTCTCTCTTTAGTCTCTCCACATGGTCTCTCCCCATAGTCTCTCCACAGTCTCTCCCCATAGTCTCTCCCTATAGTCTCTCTCTATAGTCTCTCTCCATAGTCTCTCCCCATAGTCTCTCCATAGTCTCTCCCCATAGTCTCTCCCCATAGTCTCTCCCCATAGTCTCTCTCCATAGTCTCTCCCCATAGTCTCTCCGCATAGTCTCTCTCTATAGTCTCTCTCTATAGTCTCTCCCCATAGTTTCTCCCCATAGTCTCTCCCCATAGTCTCTCCCCATAGTCTCTCCACATGGTCTCTCCCCATAGTCTCTCCCCATAGTCTCTCCCCATAGTCTCTCCCCATAGTCTCTCCACAGTCTCTCCTCATAGTCTCTCCCCATAGTCTCTCCCCATAGTCTCTCCCCATAGTCTCTCTCTATTGTCTCTCTCTATAGTCTCCCCGTAATCTCTCCACATAGTCTCTCCCCATTAGTCTCCCCATAGTCTCTCTCTATAGTCTCTCTCTATAGGCTCTCTCTATAGTCTCCCCATAGTCTCCCCATAGTCTCTCTCTATAGTCTCTCCCCATTAGTCTCCCCATAGTCTCTCCACATAGTCTCTCCCCATTAGTCTCCCCATAGTCTCTCCACATAGTCTCTCTCTATAGTCTCCCAATAGTCTCTCTCTATAGTCTCTCTCTATAGTCTCTCCACATAGTCTCTCCACATGGTCTCTCCACATGGTCTCTCCACATGGTCTCTCCGTAGTCTCTCCCCATAGTCTCTCTCTATAGTCTCTCCCCATAGTCTCTCTCTATAGTCTCCCCGTAGTCTCTCCACATAGTCTCTCCCCATTAGTCTCCCCATAGTCTCTCCACATAGTCTCTCTCTATAGTCTCTCCCCATTAGTCTCCCCATAGTCTCTCTCTATAGTCTCTCCCCATTAGTCTTCCCATAGTCTCTCCACATAGTCTCTCCCCATTAGTCTCCCCATAGTCTCTCCACATAGTCTCTCCCCATTAGTCTCCCCATAGTCTCTCTCTATAGTCTCCCCATAGTCTCTCCCAATAGTCTCTCTCTATAGTCTCTCCACATAGTCTCTCCACATGGTCTCTCCCCATAGTCTCTCCACAGTCTCTCCCCATAGTCTCTCCCTATAGTCTCTCTCCATAGTCTCTCCCCATAGTCTCTCCATAGTCTCTCCCCATAGTCTCTCTCCATAGTCTCTCCCCATAGTCTCTCCATAGTCTCTCTCCATAGTCTCTCCCCATAGTCTCTCCGCATAGTCTCTCTCTATAGTCTCTCTCTATAGTTTCTCCCCATAGTCTCTCCCCATAGTCTCTCCCCATAGTCTCTCCCCATTGTCTCTCCACATGGTCTCTCCCCATAGTCTCTCCCCATAGTCTCTCCCCATAGTCTCTCCCCATAGTCTCTCCACAGTCTCTCCTCATAGTCTCTCCCCATAGTCTCTCCACAGTCTCTCCTCATAGTCTCTCCCCATAGTCTCTCCCTATAGTCTCTCCCTATAGTCTCTCTCCATAGTCTCTCCCCATAGTCTCTCCCCATAGTCTCTCCCTATAGTCTCTCCATAGTCTCCTTCTCTATAGTCTCTCCCCATAGTCTCTCCCTATAGTCTCCCCATAGTCTCTCCCCATAGTCTCTCCCTATAGTCTCTCCATAGTCTCCTTCTCTATAGTCTCTCCCCATAGTCTCTCCCTATAGTCTCTCCATAGTCTCCTTCTCTATAGTCTCTCCCCATAGTCTCTCCCTATAGTCTCCCCATAGTCTCTCCCCATAGTCTCTCCCTATAGTCTCTCCATAGTCTCCTTCTCTATAGTCTCTCCCTATAGTCTCTCTCCATAGTCTCTCCCCATAGTCTCTCCCCATAGTCTCTCCCTATA